GGCTGAGGGCGGCCCCGGGAAGTGGCGCGGCTCCCGCAGGGTTCGCGTCCCCGGCGCCATAGGTCCCGAGAGAGAGGCCCTGCCGCGTGGGGCTGAGCCGAGCTGTTTAAAGCTAAAAGAGAAGCAACGGGGCTGGGAGATGCAAACGCGCTCAGTGGGTAGCACCTCGTGGGGGAAGGAGGTTATGGCATCCTTCGCGGACCGTGGCCAGCCTGAAGGATGTGGGGATGTATGTCCCCCACCGCAGATGGGGGAGAGCCGATTGTCAGGGGGAGCACCCCAGGGTGTTGGAGTGGGACCGGGAGAAGACGACGTGTGCAGCTGGGCGAAAAGTCCCCGGGTGGCAGCGGGAAGCGGGAGGCGGAGAAAGAATTGATTCGAAAGTGCGCTGGAAAATGGCGTCTTGTGAGGCCGTGCGGAGCGGCGTCAGGCGCAACCCCGGTGGGTTCGGCCGGGCTAAGGCCTGGGCTAACGCACTTGGCATGCTGGAAGTGACCCCATAGGTGTGTCACTGTGCCTGCAGTAAGGACGAGAAGCGGTCATAGTGCCAAGTGGCTTAGGACAGAGGTACAGTTCCCCAGGATAGTGTAAAAGTACATTTTGCCACAAGAAAACAAGGCTCTCTCTTGCTAACTAGCGAATTACAGGGCAGGTTCAATTTAGGATCTTTTCCATTTTAGCAGTGAAGTATAACAAGGACGACAGATGTGTAATACTGCTCTTTGATCTAAAAAATAGTGTGTCCTGACTTAGGAAGTATGAGATATCTTAAGACCTTGTCAAATATTACTACATATTTGGATTTTTTTTAATTCTATGTTAAGTAAAATGGTCTTTTTTACACACTGAAATTTATGTCCATTTGGATTTTCTGTTACTACTTTTTTTTTCCTGTATTTGTGGGATTTTGCAAACAGTGTAGTTTCACGCAATTGGTTTTCAGATTTTCATGTGTCACTAGCTGATAAGTGCTACTGCACATTTGCATGAGCTATTTTCAATCTCTCATGGATTAGAAACAAATCTCAATCCTTCCCAACAGTCCCAATATATCACTGTTTTGTCATCTTTGTAAAAATTGCAGGCAGAGCTCTGAATTAATGGAATACACTGATTTGCTATGGAATACACACTTGCTATCCATTTAAAAAAGATTAGTTGGAGTCCCTTGAACTGTGAATAGTTTGGCCTTTTTAAAGTTAATGTGTATTATGTATGTAGTGATGCAAACATAGGACATTTGCTATATGATGCAAAACCAAAAATTATTGACATAATATGCTCTTGTATATTATGTATAAAAGCTTGTAATGTCCAGATTTTGTAATGTCCAGATTATTTCAGTTGGTGTAAAAATTAAGCAGTGACAAATACTGAGGAATGTAGCAAGGAATCCCAAGAGAATGCTGACATCTCTGAGATTAAGAAGGGCACAGTGGTGAAAAAAAGACACTGCTTTTACTGCTAATGAAATGGCCTGGTCTGCAGCAGCTCATATTTTGAAGGAAAAAAATGGAAGGATCTTTTTTGCTTCAGAAGAATTAAGATGGTGGAGAGCAAAGTACACAAATAGAGCCTCTTCTGTCTAATAGTCAAGAACAACTAAGGAGAAGTACATTTTACACAAGGTATTCCCTTTGTGTCATTTATCCTTTTCCCAAATACCCAGATCATATAAATTACACTGCAATAAACAATACCATTCTAATTTTTTCTCCCCTCTCCTTCTTACTTGGCTATTAACCTGCTTTTCTGCTGCACCTCACAGCTCTGCTTCTTGTCCTTCAGAAGCTGCTCCAAAATTAATTACTATTACCCTTTGTGGAGTTAGAAGTGCACAGGGATGCTTGTCGGTGCTTCAGATGAGTGAAGATGCTGGAGCTGGAGCCTGCTTAGCTTAAGAGAAGAGGGACACTTGGGATAGCTTGAAGCATGCAGCCATCTTTCCCTTGTGTCCCTGGCATCTCAGGGGGATGCTGGGGTGTGCAGAGGGCACGGGGTGATGACCTCCACACTTGAGGAGAGCAGGGCTCTTGAAGTGGGGGCCTCATACTTCTGCTGCCTTCACCCTCATGTGCTCTGAAGGCTCTGGGACTAGAGTCTTCTCTTCACATCCTGGGTTCAAATAAAAATGAGGGTAGCTACTTCTAGCTCACTGGAATGCAGGTTTTAGCCTCTAAGTTGATAAAGGAGGTTGAGGCTGTGTGGGCATGTGGTACTTTAGAAGGGTGATTGCACAGGGAACGTGAGAGCTGCTGGAACATGACCACTGTTTTGCCAGTGTGACTTGCTGCAAGAGCTGGACCGATTTTTATTTAATGCCTTGGTACATCTGGCCCAGCAGAGGCACATCCCAGAGCATCTTCCACTGTATCCTGCCAGTGTGCGTACAGGGAAAGTGGTATAGCAAAAGCCCCTGGGTGCATGCCTTCTTCCACTAACAGGGATACTGTGCTGTTTCTGGAAGCCAGGCATCTTGTGTATGCAAGTTTGGAACTGCTGCCTTGAATTTCTGATCCTAAAGGACACAACTGATGTATCTAAACATTCTTGTTTCCTTAATGACATTGACTGCAGGTGGAGACCCTTGGCAGACCTGCCTATGCATGGTCAGTTCTAGCCATCATAGTGTGCTGTTTGCCACCTGCTCTCAGCTGTTTGAACTTTTCCTCTCTTTATGCAGTTCTTGCTAGCGCTGATCAATAAAGTGTGGCATCCTTAGCCGTATGCATCTCCCTCCCAAAATGGACAGCTGGTCAATGGTTTGGATTGGTCTTTGACAGCATCTTTGTTCTGTCACCCTTCACCAATGTGTTTAAAGGTCAGGCCAGGCAAAACTCTGGTCAGTCCACCAGCAGGAAAGAGACCACTACACAGTAGACATGGAGCAGCAGAGAGTGCTCATGTCACAACAGTGCAGACAGGAACCTGGCTCACTGACTTCTCCAGTCCCTATTTCCTTCATCAGAAGACTTCACTGAGGGGTCTGGTCCCTACATACATGGATCTCATCACTTCTGGCACCATTTTGGGGTGAACTCCCTAGAAGGAGGAAACCATTACACAAGGGTGGAATTTCCTGCCTTTAGCACCTCTTGGCCATGTAAGTTATTCCTATACTATAGGCTGTTTATATAGCATTGTGTAAAAGCAAGCAAAAGCAATGATGACCTGTCCTAAGATATAGAAATACATTTATTAGATGGCGTGGATGACAACCCCTTTAGGTTGATGGCCACCATGAACAGATAGCTAAAATTCCTGTTGAATTCAGCATCTCCCAAGAGCTGTATGCTTTGCCCAGGACATTTGCAAAAACTCTCTTGGTCTGTCTGTAGCAGTTGTTGCTGTCAAGTGGAGGCTGCTCTGCCTGTTCATATCCATAGGTATCAGCTTAAACTGTTCTAAGATGGGCTGCTGACACCAGAGGTGGTCCAGGCCTTCCTCCTCTTTGCTGTACAATCCTGCTTTCTCTGTATCACCAGCTCTGCCACCTGATGCAGCTGAAAGTTAGCACTACACAAAAAGCTGCTTCCTGGCCATGATGTACAACAAACAGGCTGTTTTTTGAGAGCTGTGCTGATTTACATCAAATGCCTCAAGAAGTTGCTGTGTTGAAGATGTTTGGAAGGTAGCAGGCCATTGGGTTCCTGGGCTAGTAGCTGAGGCACACCTTAAGGCAAATTTTGGAGATGTCCAGCAGGGCTTTGTCTTCATGGTCACCCCAAAGCTACTTAAATAGCAGTGAAGCAATTGCTTGTTGCAAACATGTGCCATTTTGTAAGCCATGAAAGCAAGATGTACTTAGAACTGCCAGAAGTCATGAAGAGGATGATTATTCCACTCATGTCATCAGTTGCCTTGAAGGTGTTTGTCCTTCCAGGGGAGAACATTATGTTATTGAACACAAGGGTGTAGGAATAATGTGTTCTGGAGTTAAGTATTTCTGAACTGCCCTTGCAGCCCAGAAAGCCAACTGCATCCCTGGACTGTGTCAAAAGAAGAGTGACCAGCATGTTGAATTCTAATGTACTCTGTTCTCATCGCACCCCAGCTGCAGTGCTGTATCCAGCTCTGGGGTCCTCAGCACAGGAAAGACATGGATCTGTTGGAGTGAGCCTAAAGAAGGCCCACAAAGATGCTTAGAAGGCTGGAGCATCTCTCTGGAAACACCCTAATCGAGCTGGGGTTTTTCAGCCTGGACAAGAGGCTCTGGGTACATCTTATAGCAGCCTTCCAGTACCTAAAGAGCCTGCAAGAGAACTGGAGGGGAACCTTCTGGCAGGATCTGTTGTGATAGGACAAGGAGTGATAACTTTAGATTGAAAGAGGGTAGATTTAGATTGGATATTAGGAAGAAATTATTCCCTATGAGAGTGGTGAGGCACTGGAACAAGTTGCCCAGAGATGCCCTATCCCTGAAAACATTCAAGTTCAGACTGGATGGGGCTCTGAGCAACCTGACCTAATTGAAGATGCTCCTGCTCATTACAGGAGGGGTTGGATTAGATGATCTTTAGTAGCCCCTTCCAACCCAAGGTACTGTATGATTCTGTGACTCTGTGATGGGGGTAAATGGTTATTACGATGGCTGCAGAGATACTCTGCTGTAGGTTATGTCAGAGTAACCCTTATGAGGTCAGGGCAGGCACGAGGAGTGCGCTTGGCTGCTTGTTGCCAAGGCAGTCAGCAACCACGTTCATGCGATTGAATTTTAAAAAAAAACCCTTTTCCCCCCCCTAAGCATTAATGTTAATGCAAATTAACTTTCAACTGCATGACAGTTTTATTCTGGGTTGGCTTTGCTGATTGTTTCTGTGGGTTGGCTTTGCCTAACTTATTCCTAACTGTTGGTACAAACGATCTTTTCATCTGCGACACATAAGAGATTTTAATTCAATGTACTCTTCTGAAAGCCAAGGAAATAAGGGCAGGCTTCTAATAGCTTTATTTTTTTCTACCAGATCTTTTAATCTCTTTATTTAGGCACTTGATTCAAATAGGAAGAGGCTTTTCTATTAAAAAAGGCAGCTTATATAAAACATAAGGGTTATAATTGCAGCTATACTGTCAGATGTAGAGCTAGATTTAAAATTTCCTGATTTACTAGTATAAATTGGACTAAAGGATGCTTCTGACTAAAAATAGAGCCATTTTTCTTAAATAATCAATTTTTTTTCATATAATGTAAAATGTCTATAAAGCATGCCTTAAATGTATTAGTGGCAAATATTAACAGACACTTAAGTTTTCCTGTATGTCACTGTAATCCACTTCAAGCAGATGATGGTACTATTTATTTCTGCATGTTTTGTCTTTTTTTCTTAATTTGCAATTCTGTAAGTTGCAGAACTTGGGGTTTTTTTTTGAAACTGAAGACATTGGGAGATATAAACTGCTTCTGACACAAATTTGAATGGTGACCTTGTAACCACAGGGTCATAGGCACAAGAGTGTGGAAGGGACTCCTTTCTTGTCTCAGAGCTACTTTCCTTTGGCCTTGTTTCATTCTTCACATGTTAATCTAACTTTATTTCAAAACTTCCCCTCCCATTTTCACATCTTCATTTTTCAAAACAGTAGCTGCCCTGAGGTTTCTATCACGAAGAGTGTGGAGGATGGTTATTATGAACTCTGTGCCTCATGTTCCACGTCTGTCATATGAATGTGTCAGGCTTAATCTTTATTAATTCCTGAGGGAAAACTGAAGACTAGAGCTAATAAGGTATTTGTATGGTAATTGTTTCTTTTGGGACGTGGTTTCTGAGAATTCATAACAAACTGAAAAGAGTTGCACAAGTATGAAATTTATTTAGAAATAAGCTGTTTAAACAGCACAACAAAATTAGAAAATTCATGGGGGAAAAAAAATATATTGGAGATTATTAAATGCTCAGGCACCCTCTCAAACATAAGAACTCCCTCAGCACAAGTCACTGGAGGCCACAAGGGTATTCTGAGGAGTTATCGTGGTGTGCTTCTCCTGTCCTTACACTTTTCCCTACATATTCAACACTAGATAAATTAAATTTTTGCATGACTCACTGGGGCTCTTGCATTTTTGCCAAGATTAGGCTAAAAGCCAGAGAAGGGAAAGTGATATAACACAGTGACATCACTGAACTGAAGGGTAAGAGAGGAAAGAGATGGTGTGCCAGGAGCCACTTTGGTGATGTGTTCTGCATGCAGTGTGCTGTTCAAGTGGATGTGTAATTAGCAGTGTACAGGGAGAGGGGAGTCACATTCAAGGACCCGAGCATATCAAAGTAGACACTCAAACCAGACAACTGGAGAGGATGTTCAGAAGCCATGCAATGTACCAACTTCAAAAAATTATGATGTACCAGGCAGATCTCATTATATCTTGTTGGGTTGTTTTCTTTTTTCTCTTTAGCAGGTGGGAGAGGGCAAGGAGTTTGTGGGTTTTATTTTAGTTCTGTAATCAAGTTTAAAGTAGATTTCACTGGCTTATCCCCAGCACACTTTGCCTGGTGACATGACTGTCTGCTAGTACTCAGCCAGATGCAAGGTGTTTTGTTCCACTGGAAGTTACAGTGTATTCCTGAGACAGCCGCCATCCAAAATACATTCAGAGAAGTCAGGGTATGTTGTTTCATCATGCTACAAAGGCTGGTTTCAGTCTGCTAGGGCAGGATCTCCTGCACAAAATAACACACCTTTGGCAAAGGGTAAAGGAAAAAAGTGTGTGTGGTTTCAGAAGGATCTCACAAGAAACAAGCAGTCTGCAAGGACGAGATTTGAGAGTTCAAAGTCAAACACAACATATTATTTCCAAACAGTTGTTCCAGATTTGCAGGCACCTTAGGTGTCCTGCTGTGGTGTCCAGATTCCCTGGCAAGAATTCAAGGTTTTTCTTGTTTGTGACAGGAATGACTTCATGTCTTGCACACTGAGAGTGTTAATTTAGCATATAAATATTTCCCTACCTGGTGTGGTTTCTGCTGCTTTCTGAGAAGCAGCAGAGATTAAAAATACCGCATACCTTGTTGCTTGGTGTTTTTGTATCCAATATTTTTGCTCTTTTCCTGATGCCTCACTGTGACCTGGCTGAAGGCTGAGTCAGTCTGTTGGTGACTGGCTACCGAGGGCTACAACCTTCTGTCATATTTTCATTTTGGAGGATCCTGGTTTCCTGCCTAAAGCATCGGGTGCTGGGCTAAAGTCATTAACTCTAGAGAGTACCTGATGCAGGACAGCCATCAGAATTTGGAGGGAGGGGGAGAGCGTGTGTAGTGCAGAAGCTGAGATCTGAGGTTTTGGGAAATAGGAGGAGAACTGGAGCACTCTGGCTTGCTGGGGGAACTGTTCCCAGGTGGACACGGGGGGGTCTGTGTGCACTCTCTGCACTCAGCTGTTGCCATCCCCCTCCATGTGCCAAGTGGTGAGGCTGGAGAAGCCTTGTGGAGTCTCCCTAGGGTAGGGCTCGGTGCTGTTGCCCTCACCAGTGAGACAACTATCTCCTCCCTAAATTGAGTTTTAGACCTCCTGTGCACAGGCATCTGTTCAGGGGCCACTGAATTATGCAGAAGGGTTTTTTCCTTTATACTGTGGTTTTATTTTCCCATACATATTCCCACACTGACGGTTCTGTTTTCCCAGTATGTCTGACTTGTGCCTTCTCAGCACCTCTGCAGGAACAAGAGCGGCAGCTAAACACGTGATTAATTGCCTCACTTAAAATCTGTTTAAAATTCTTAGGTAATTGATGTCTGATAGATTGTTTTTTCTCGTCTGCTCAAGCTAAATTAGGCTAACACCAGCCAGAGGTGGCTGGTGAGTTATTCTTCCAGTCCTGGGAAAGTTTGTGTTGGCAGAATATTCAACAACAACCATCACCAAATCCCGTGCTTCAGAAAGGGGCCATTTCTCAGGTAAGGAAGAAAAAGGAGGGCTTATTGTGATGAATGGTCCTTCAGAGCACTTACTTGGGCTTCTGACAGTATAATTCTGAATAATGGTGTTCCCTCTGATTCTCATCTCATTCTTGTGCTTGGGAGCATTCCCTTAGTTTATGGTTTCCTTTTTACATTTGTTTGTCTTTAAAATCATCACTCAAGATGATCATTGCAATACAGCAGTTGGCTTAAATCCCCCATCTTTTTCAAATGCTTGTCATGAGTACTAAAAAACTAATGCTGCTCATTAGTGCTGTTCATCAAGTTCTGGATTTTTTTTCCCAACTTAACTACAGGCAAGTCTCAGATTTGGAACATATTAGAGATCTCTTTAAAATCTTATCTATAACTGACATAATTATCTGCTCAGACAAGTTGTGGTAAAAGACCAATCCCTAAGAATCTCAGCCATTACACTCTTATTTTTAAGTTAAATCATGGAATGGTCCCTAAACCCACACCCTTTCATTTTTTTAGGTCTTTCTCAAAAAAAAAATGTAGAGCTGCTGTGTATTCAAAGGAGTAGAATTTAAGCACCTGTTTTTATTTAAGCCACAGTAACCATCAGCTCCTTAGTAACTAGGGGTGTGTCTGCTAAGAACAATCTGTCACCTGTCACTCGGTTTTTAAGTGACTGATTTCACATCCAGAGCTAAGACAGATAATTGACAAATCATGCAGACTTCAGCTGAAGAAAGTGCTAATTTTTTTTTCTTGAATATTACCCACAGAAGTGCTGCTTTTTCAGTTAATTTCACATTCTTAGACAATTTCAATATGTAGCTACAAAGAATGGCATGTGCATTGACTGTAGCTTATTTGTAAATCTCTATCAGATACAAGTAGTCCAGAGTCTGCAGATTTATATAAGCGTTGGTTAAATGTGATTTTTTCATAATTAAACCAGCTAGGTTTCTGAAAAGTTTCCAGAATATCTTTTAACACATATTCAGTGATATTTTAGCAAAACACTAACCTCCCAAAGTCTTAAAGCTTACTGATAATTTCAAATTTATTAAGTTTGTTAGTATAATTTTTGAGGAAAAAACAAAGAGAAACTTGAAAATGGCTCTGTAGGCAACAGCCACAGATGGGAAAATTTGATAAAGGTTAGAGAGGTCAGAGGTGAAGCTGGTGGCTTCTGCCCTGAAGGGTTTGAAGGAATCTTCTCAGCAAGGAAACTTCCTTCTGCTCCTGCATGATTAATATCTGTCTCTGCCCCAGTTTACTGACCAATGGAAGGAACTTCCATCTGCGGGAAAATTCTGCTAGCTCCTGTAAGTGAAGTTCTCACATACATATTGCCCTCAGACAGAGCAACCAAATGCATGAGCCAGTTAAAAAAACAAAACAAAAAACCAAATCTGTACTGTTTTATCACTGATCAGAATACACAGACTTCATATATGTCATTTGCTGGACTCACCTGCAGCAGTTCTAGGTGTGTATCTGCCAGCCCTGGTTTCTTCTCTCAGCGCTGAGGATGCTCAAGTCTCAGTGCTGTGGCACAGCAGCAGGGAGCTGAAGCCACAATGCCTTGGTTTGTGAGACAAAGCTACAGAGAAAATGTTCAGTGACACTATCAGAAGGCCCCTCTGTTGTGACCTGAGATAGAATTCAGCTATCACTGTGTGATCAAATTGCATTTGTCAGATTCTCAGGTAACAATTTGCACAGGGCTGATTTTCCTGTACTTGTGTGTCGCTGTGGGAAAGGAAAATTGGGAACCAACTTTGAAACTTACAGTCTCCACTCCTGTCACAACTGTGAGTCAAGAAAATTCTACACTGGTTTGAAACTTGATGTGTTTGGCTGAATAAAGAAGGACCAGTTGAACAATCTGGAAGCCAGATGTGAGCATTCATTCCCTGATCTTAGAGTCTGACTGTCTTAGGGGCAGCCTTAGGGTTTGAGAGCAGAGGGAGGTACGGACTGGCATCCCTGAGCTGGCAGGGTTTCTGTCTCTGCTGGGATGAGTCACCCAGGGTACTGAGCTGAACTGTCTGCTTCTGTTCTCCACCTTTTATCACACTGCTGTCCAAGGCTGTTTTGTTAGAACAGAAAAGGAGTTAAAACTGACAACACCACTCTCTAAATTACATTGTAAGACAGAATAAAGTTTTTGAAAACAAGTCTATCCTTTACTCACTGGGTTCTTACAAGGCAGACAGTCTTTCCTCTACAGTTTCCTTGAGCTCCTCTCTTCTGTCCAGGCTCTTGCCTTGTCTTCTGAACATTGCCTTATCTTCTGACCGAACTTCCTCCTTAGTCTTAGTTGGATACAAAACCTGGCTCCTCTGTGTGGGACCTATGGGACCCGTCCCCTGACTCTGTTCTGGCCCACTTAGACAACACCCTGTCTCTATGCTTTTCCTAGAAGCTCCTGAGTGTTAAGCCATGGCTGGACCAGCTGGAGCACAGAGCCAAGCACTTTGCAAACTCATCAGGAAAACTGAGCTGTTCTCTCAGGGAACGCTGCCCACGTGGGTGAGAGGTGTTCAGAGGAGGTGGAGAGCTTTGAGATAAATTGCTCATCCAGGAAAAAAGGCAGTAGGCTGGAAAGCTGATTCCCTCACATCAGCCTCTACCCTCTCTGGCAAGGCTCCAAGGAACATCTGAGCCTTTTCTGACATGAGCTGGGAGGAAGGTTCTGAAGCAAATCTGAGAAAGGCTACATGATGGCAAGCTTACTCAATCCTGAAAACTCCATCCATGCCATCCTTTCAGGTATGAGTGTTTTGTTACCCCCATGACAGATTTAAATTAGCTGGAAAAGCACCTTATATACTTGTCTTGGTTTGAAAGACAGGTGTCCACTAGGGAAGGCAGGAGCCTCCCTTGGAATAAAAAATGTAAACTCCCATTCTCTGAATTATTAGAATTTTGAAATTAAGGGGCTCTCAGGCAAAGATACGGGGATAGGAATAACAGTTCTTTACTAGTATGTATAACAAGGCACACAAACAACAACAACTACAGCAATAACAACAAAACAGAACCAGAGACCCTGTGACAGCCTTCTCGGCCAAGATGGGGTCCCTGGCTACCTTTTGCAGAGCTGCTGGACAGTAAAGGCTGTCTGTGGAATTGCTACACAATACTCCTGTCTATCTCTGAGTCGGCCTGGGACAACCTTGCAAGCAGAGCTGAAATCACTGAGCTGAACTCACTTGCAGGCACAGGCTGCCCCTTGCTGAAATTACCCAGTGGCCAGGGACCACCAGACACCCCCGGAAGGCTGTCTCTTGCGGAACCTCTCTCTCTGGGAAAGGCGTGCCATTCCGGGTCAGACCAATGGACCTGGCCCAGAGAGGCTTTGCTCCACAAGCCCTTCGGGCAGTCAGTCCCGGTGCTCCTACAGGGCTCTGAGGAACACCCTGCTGGAACAGCAGGAATGAGCAGAGATCCCAGGCTGGTGGATGAGGTGTATCAGAAGCTCCGCAGCGGTGGCTGGCACTGCAGGATGTCCCAGCAGGATAGGGGGGGGCCACAGAAGAAGAGGAAGAAGAAGCTCCCTCTGGGTTATGGCGAATTCCTTTCCCCAAGCAACAACAGCTCCGAGTGTGCTGCTCTGAAGCTGAAGAAGCAAGCCAGCCAGCAGCTGCCCCCTGCCCTCTCTTTTACCTGTCCCACTTCCCCCTGAGCCCAGCCAAACTCTTTCGTCTTCTCAAACACTCAGTAAGTACCAGCAGTCAGGTTTTCCCAGCAACTAATGGGGAAAATTCTATAGGTGAGGAGGAACAAAAGGAAGGACACCTAACCCCCAACAGTACTAAATCACGAAGCACCCACTGCCAGTGTGCAGGTAACTGAATCATGCCCTGACTGTCCCGCAGCTTGAGTCCAAAGAACCCAAGCAGAACTCCCCTCTCTGTACATTTAATCACTGCCTTATATATATTACATAATGCATTATTCTTTTGCTGTCCTCCTCTATGGAGTGATCATTACATTCTTTTAAACACTTCACTGATCAGCTAAACTTGTATGTAAAAGCAGGTCTTTGGCAAATCATGTGTCTGCTCATGCTGTGTATCTTCAACGCTGCAGTTACATTTGTGAACTACACACTTCTTCCATAAACATCAGATACGTCTTCTGTGAGGTCTTGTTCTTCCTTTGATGGACTACAGACCATCAAGTTCTGCTTCTAAATTAAGAGGTATCTGATTGTTTATTAGTTGTACTGGAAAGTTCTTTATGACTTCAGTAATTAGTGTTTATACTCCCCAGGTCTGTGTAGAAGCACTTTAACATTGCATAAGAAGATTAAACACTCCGCAACAGAGTATGCATTGCTCCCAGGATAGCTTTACATCCCCAAGTTTTGTAGAGCCTCGCTGAGGGAGTCTTTCCAGAAATGGGTTCATGGGTAACCTTATGTAGTAATTTTGAGTGGATTTCACAGCAGAGATGCAGAAAAATATCCACAGGAAGATACCAGGATCATGAAGCTCTGACTGCACCAAAGAACTTTTCAACTACAAACACTTGTTTGTTAGTGCTATGTCATTTGCAGGACTTGTAAAAAAAAGTTTGATGACTAATTTGGCTGCCTTCATCATTTCTGTGTTATTGACAACATTTCTGTAAAATGTTGGATCAACTTCTAGAAACATCAAAATTCATGCTAGAAATGAATTCCACCCTACTGGCATCTGTTTCTGGATGTTCTTTGTGATTTGCCTGGTTATTATCCAAGGCTGTTTTCTAGCTGAAGGTATTACCTGCAGGTGTAAGCAGTGCATTAAGCTGAACAGGCACAGGGTTGTCAGCACATCTGTGACAGACAAATGTCACACACATCTGTCCAGCCTCCTTCCATGGGAGATGTGTGTCACTGCTGTGGTGGGCACAGCTGGTCTTCACACCACTGGTCCTGATCATCGACCACAGGCCTCCATCACACTGTCTAACATGGGCTCTGGAGTTTCTCTTGTTAGGTTAAATATCTCTTTATACTTTCATGGACTCCTTCCAAATGAAACTCAATTGAGTAATTAATAATATGGAGGGAGAGTTAAGCTTTTTAAATTCTGCATGCTTTTGTGCCAATTATTCCATCAAAGACTGGCTCACTTTGTTGCTACTGAGCTTCTCAGCAAGACATGACCTTGGTTTATTAAATAATACATTTATTTCTGACAGCAATTTATATAAGAATAGGTCTATCCAACAAGACTGATGTTTGACCACTCAGTAGTACAGTTAGACCACTGTACTAATACAGTGTATTAGTTTATACACTAGTAAACTGAATAAAGAGTCCCCTGCTCAGTACCTGGCAGCCTCACAGTGGCTGTACTTGTCTCTAAGCCACCATTGCTGCCTTTACTATTTCCACTCAAGGTGCTGCAGCACAGTCTCCTTGCAGCCTCTTGGATATCTCACCACATGCTCAACACATTGCTGGTGCATCTGCTGCTGGCCTGGACTTTGCAGGGAAAACAATAAATTTCTGCCTCCAGAGATGGCAACAGCACTGCCTCTCATGCTGGTGTGAGCTGTACCCACCAGTAATGGACTAATGGGGTCTGAAGTCTCTGCTCCTTTCTTCTCCACCTCCTCCTCCCCTTCTCCCCTGGCTGGAGTTTGGGGCTGCACAGGCTGTCAGTGACACAGGGCAGGTGGTGCAGGCTGTCCTGGTGCACCTGCAACTTCTCTGAAACTGCTTTTAAACACATGCACGGCAATACAGTGATGAGTCTCTCTGCTCCTGTTAGAGCAAAGCAAATCTGTTAGCTTTGAATCTCAGAAGTAATTTTCATAACATCATTTCTGCAGCAGCTAGTTTCCATGGAAACCAAGAAATGACTGGCAGCATGCATAGGAAAGAAGACAGCTGACCTGATTGTCCTTCCTTGGCCCCTGTGGATGGGCTTCCCTCAGTCTGCACATGCACATCCTTTGCTCACTGCTGTGAGATGGACAAGCCCAGACTCAAAGGCTTCAACCCATTCCACTGGCAGCAGCCTGAGTGCAGTGTCTCTCCTGGCTGCTGCACATCCTCCTCATCCTGCTTCTCTGGGCAGCTTGTCCTGCACCCAGAAGAGGAGGGCAGAGGGAGGAAGGGTCTGTAGATGTTTTCACCCTGCTTCCCACCCCTGTATCATTCCTAGGCCTCAGCAGTGATAGAAGGACTTGTGGTTAGCTTTGAATGTGCATGTGTCCCTTTCTTTTTGGCCCCCCCAAACCCACTTACTTCGCATACTTTGTTCACTTATTCCACTGCTGCTAGAATACTCCTATAGGTCAACCTGTTGAAGGTGTATACTTATAATAAAGTCCTACATGCATTGCATTGAATTTACAAATATTCTTGGAATTCTTCCTAACTACTACCAGAAATATCTGCACTCCAGGTGAAGATTCTGTTCCCTGTGGTGTTCCTTAAGAAGCCACAAACCTATGTCACAGTCTTCAGGAGCTAGCAGTTTTGTCTGTGTGCTTGGGCAGAGAGAGGGACTTGACTGACCCAGGCTCAGCTGCAGCTTTTGGTTGCATTTCTTCGAACTGTATTCTCAGTAAACCTCCCCAGATGATAAGGAAGAAGTGTTGATCAGCTTATGACACAGTCAGGGAAGAGTCATGACCAATAGGATTACCTGGTCTGCAGGTAAAAAGCAGATCCTCAGAGACCATTTAGGAAGTTGTACATCTGCAGGGACTGAGGGAGAAAAAGTTGACTCTCAGGAGCTCTGAACAGCTCTGGAACAGCTGTACGTATAGGTCATGCCACAGGCCAGGACCAGGAAGATGTGTAAAGCTCTGAACAGATTCCATTTTGTACATAGTTTAATTCTGCAGTATTATTTTATTATCAATAAATAATGACATGTCAGTTTATTTAGTACAAAAGCCCTTTTTTCTTTCTCATTTGGAGACAGCAACATTAGCACCAATAATCACAGGAGCATTAGCATCAATCGATACACTTTTGAAGCTCAGTGCGGGCTGGTTGGGTGCTAGAGGCTGCCTGTCTGTCTGAGCATTGCAGGTTCCCACGCCATGCTCATCCCTACTCTCCAAAAGCATGGGATAAGCACAGCATCCCTGGGGGCAATTCACAGCGTGGCATTTCACCTGGGGAGCATTTGTGCTGGGAGCCACGGGCAGAGGCAGTGCTCTAGGCCATGGAGTCTGTTCTTCCTTTAAACCTCTTAAAATGCACAGAAGCCACGAGGCTTCTGGAAGGGCAAAGCAGCTTATAGAAAGCAACTGCAGAGATGAGAGCATCCACAGAAGCTGGGCACTCCCTGAGGTGTTTCTCTGCCTTCAACTCCAGAGTGCTGGAGGGAAGAGCAAGCCTGGACAGCCTCCACAGTGCTTTTACTAAACTTTCCAAGTCTCTCTGACATAAAAAATAATTGACCTTTACAGTAGCATTTGAGCCAGCTACACTGACATCAGCTCTTGCTAGTCCTCTCTACTCAGTTCATGTTTGCTTAATGGCATGTGAATTAATTCACTGCAGGATTAGTGACACTAATACCAGGCTGAAATGAAATTTAAGATGCAGAGCATCTTTTGGTTGTAAAAAAAAAAAAACAACAAATCAAAGGAGGCAAATGCCAATGCTTTTGGAAATCTTCACTTTTAGGATGCTATGACTGAGTAATGAATGAGCTGAAGTACAGAAGAAAAACAAACCAAATTCCAGCTATTTAAAGGCTCAGCAATTCCTTCCAGGCAAAAAACAAGCAGCTATTGTGTGCTGGCACTGGGAGGGCTGGGGGGAAAGAGCGTTTCCCACAGGCAAATTAGGAATGGGAAAATTAGGACAAAACCCACAAGCCTCTGCAGCCTGAGTAGGGAACACAAGACATTTTCTGTTCAACATTATTTGTGTTGTCATTAGGTGGGTTTAATAGGGCTTTATACTTATTCTGGGAGGAAAGGTGCTGGCTCTGCTTGAGCTAACAGTAATGACCGTTCCTTCTTGGGAAACATGAGGGAGCATTTGCTACATCACTCAGGCACTCACTGGGAACAGAGGGTCTCCTCCACCCCCATCCCTTCCTGGTGAGGGAGTTTGGACATGTTTCACTGGAGCCTGATAAAAACCTGTCTGTGCCCTGTTTGGCCAGGGGGTGTCTGATTCACATCACTTGTCTCACTGTACAGGAGGACCCATATTGACCACCAGCCACACTGGGACCGGAACAGAGCTCCACAAGGGGTGCCTTTGAAAACCCCACACTTCTACCCCACAGCTGCCTGGGGCAGCAGACAGGGTATGCTTCTGGATGCACATATCATGGATGTGGGAAAGGCTTCTCTCATCCACGATGGCTTGTACCCCTTCTTAACTCTCCTCCCATGCTGTCATGAGCCCCAGCAGGAACAGTTCAGCAACACAGTCACGGCTTCCTGAAGTTCTGTATCTGGGTGCCTTGTTTCAGGCTGTGTAAAAGTGAAATGGGACAGAGAGGTAAAAACAGCTCCCTAAGGAGAAATCATGAGTTAAAGGCAATGAACAACAGCTCCTGCAGGGCACACATGAAGCCCCTCCTTCACCTTCACTTTGTCCAGGAGACACTACCAGGGATTTCTCTCCTTTCACACTAACACACGGTCTGGAAACAGCACAGCAGGTGCAGCAGGCTTGGTGCTTTGAGGATTCCAAAACCAACAACTTTCAAAAGACCAGGAGAACTGCTGATCACCCATCTGAAACCTGCAGAAGGATCAGTGTTCCCTTAGTCCTATGAGTCCCATGCTGCTGCTCAGAGATGGATGGGGTGTAGAGTTACTCTGGTATGAGCAATGTCTCTCTCTATGGAGACCCAGAGATAAATGTAGCCTCTGTCATGCCTAAAGCAAGCTAAAACTATTCCAGTGAAGGATCTTGCATTTCTTTATGGCTAGATCCTGGTTTAGTTGTTTATATGCTAATTTTAATGGACCAGATAATGTGAAAAATACAGGATCATTACTCCAGCCTAGCAGGAATGGGAGCTGCCAGTGGAGCACAGCTGCTCTTCCAAAGAACTGCCATGGCTTCCCTGACAAGTTATTACATTGACAAGTTTCAAGTTTTTTATGATCTGATTTAGATCAAACCACAAGATTTCAGAACAATTCAGGAACTGTCTAGTAGTTATTTCCATTGCACTGCATGAAGCACTGAGAAAGAATGCATTCATTCTGGGGGTGGGGTTGATAGGACTAAGGTGCTACAGCCATGAAAAACCTCTGCCTGTTGTGGAGCTGTTCCAATGACAAATTTGTCATATAGTTCTGCATGGCTAAAGAAACTTTTAGAAAATAAAATTTCATTTGGAACATATATCTTTTCTTCAAGAGCAGCTCCATTAAATGCAGCCACTCACCCACTAGCAAACAATGCAGTAGATACTTTTGTGAATTGCTCACCTTCCTGGAAGCTGATCAGCACTCCTGGCCACTGGATGCCAGAAGTGAGTTCATCTGGAACTCACATTAGTTTTAACTGATGAACTATTGTCAAGTTTCCTTTCAATAGGTTACAAGTTGCTGAAACTCTCTTGCAGGTTTGCTGGTGAGGAAAACTCAGAAAAGGGAACACATCTGCATCTGGGCAGCTTCTCCAACAAGTCAGGCTCTAGCCAATGTTCTTTAGCAGTGCACATGGACATGTCCTGCTCAGCATGCACAACATGGCAAAACATACCCCCTTCCCAGCTATGGGGAGAGATGGGTAGGGACAACACCAGCTCGGACAGCCACAGGACAGCATTCCCATTTACCACTGCCCTCAACTTGCAGAGAAATCTCTCTGCTGTTAAAACACACGCACTCATCTGCCCTTTGCAAATTACAGCACCAACACCTTTCAGTGCTGTCAAAGCATGTCCTCAAGGGCTGCTGCCAACTATGTGCCAGAGCCTGGGATGTTTGGGGAAGATGTCTCACACAAACCAAATTTCAGCACCTGATGCTCATGTCAGCCTAAAGCTTAACTACAGGAAAATCTTGGATAGTCTCACTGTCCTTCAAAACCATTGCTCAAAACCAAACATCAACTTGGGTGGCACTTACAAAACAAGCTGTAGGTACAAGTAACACACAGAGCCAACTTTTTTTTTTTATAAAAGTATTTTTAATAAACTGATGGATTTAAGTTTAAGATGCTAGACAACTTGTTGCCATGTACAGGTAACAAAAGTCAAAATTCTTTGAATTTTATACAAATACTATGTAGTAAACTTGAATGCAAGTTTACAAAAAATGCATCAGTGGATATTCAGCTTGTAACCAACTTCCAACAGTGAAAATTATCATCTATCAATAGTGATCAGAATTGCATTGCAAATTTTAGAAGTAATGCAACTATGTTTTGTTTTTTTTTACCAAGCCACTCTGAAGTTACTGGTGCACGCTGACAGTACATTGGATTTTTTTGGCTTGCTGAACAGAAAATGGCGTTTAAATAAAATGACTAAGTGAAACAATGTAATACATATCAAAAGTACTATCCCACAGAAAATTAAGAAAGAACGAGAAAGCAAACAGAGCAGAACCCTGAAGTGGTGATATTTTTCTACCCGTTTTGATGGAAATGATTCCACAGGTGTCCAGCTTTCTCACAGCATTTTGAAGTGTTCTAGTCCTAGCACAGTGTGGTCATTAGTAGACTAAAGTAATCCCTGCTTGGCAGTAATGCTGGTGAAAGGTAACTTGCTCTATTGCTAACAAATCAGAGTAACCACTGGCAGGGTGACTTCTTGCAGGCATCCAGCAGAGGCTGAGTTGACAGCACATGATTGAAGTTACAGCACTGCTCGCTTTGATACAATACCCAACAGCCTTCAGGGTTCAGGTGTCAGTTTCCTCACAGGATTTACAAATGGATGGTTTCAAAACAAACAAAAAAAAGTCCTTATGGAGCATAAGACAGTATTTTCACCTGTACAGCTACCAATAAAGTGAATGTTTTTGTTACAAACTTTCCAGTCTGCTTTATAAAAAATAGTCTTAGTTTTACTTCTAAATAAAAACTGTGCTGTGATCTGTCACGTTCTTGCATTGTACATGCTGTAATTGTGTGTGTTAATGAAGGTGTAGAGATTTGTGACCTAGCGCTCTGGATGTATCAGAAGCCTAAAAAGCTGATTTTGGTACATAAAAGGTAGCAATGAAAATTCAGTCCATTTATTTTTCCTAAAGCATAGGAAAAGCTACAGTACTTTGCTAGATCAGTGGCCTCAACCCTGAGCTGAAATAAAGGACCTGCCCTGGCCAAGAGACTTAGTCACATTACTACCACAGCTGCATAGCAGAGACAAAATAACCTGTCTGCAGCCTGTTATGTGAGCTGTGAGTAGTGCGAAATTCAGTTCTGTAATGCTTGAGAGTTGACTGGAGACCACCATATTCATTTTCACTACAGGGAAAAGAAGGAAAGGAGAACTCAAATTCAGAGTGGAAAGCACTCAACAGGGAGGGTCAGTATACCCAGCTTCTGGATATCAAACAGAGAATGAAGTTAGTGTCAGACTCACCAGGTCTTAAGCGTTTCCCACTTGGCAGAAGAGATTATTAAAACACGTACCAAAATACAGTTAGGGAGACTTTTACTACTATCTCTTTCCAGAAAGAGATTTACTACTATTTCTTTCCAGAAAGAGTCTCACTTGATTTCCCCCTCACTACAACTGAATGTATCTCTCTCTGTACTACACTGCATCACAAAAGATAAGTGAAAACCTAAAGTCTGTCTGATGAAGAATTCAAACCAGGTGGCAGCAGAAAAACTTCCACTTGTTTCTAACACAAGTTGGAGCTGGCAACAGTAAGAATTCTTATGATGATACAACTACTGCACCTTCCCATAGGGTTCAATGGCACCACTACCCATGGCCAGGAGCATTCATAATATGAAGCTTTTTGCCTCCCAAGAGGACTTTTTTTTTTGCTTTTAAACAGCAGAAACTGCAGAGTCAGTATTTCATTCAACAGAAAAACTAAACCCAGCAAAAGACTGTAAATAAAGCTCATAAGAATAATTCATATTTCTAGTAATGCACACTTCTTAGTGAGCTGACCAGTTTAGGGATGGTATATTTTTTGTTAGTTTAAGGCAGCAAGTCTTACAAAATACTCAAGCTCACCTCCCTCATGTTTGTGCTACTGTAGCCTTATGTGCACAATAGAACCTCACTAATTTACACTAATGATTGGAAGAACAATTAATTCTCTTGCTAAATGAACAAGAATAAGGCATTCAATTATATATTCTGATCACTAATTATAATTTAGCTCTAATTATAATCTACCAGCAAACATACTTCTGTGTTTTAGAAAATAGTATCTCTTACTTTCAGATATAATTATGTGTGCAGATTAGTGGGTTCTGCTGTGTAAACACGCAGGTGCATAAGCAATTTTCAGGTTTTTCTTCATTACATCTGGTAAGAAAGTTAATGCCACAGATAGAGACTATGGGAAAATAAATTAGGATTTCTCTATCATTTGTGCGGACATGCACAACTGGGCAGTAATTTATAGCTCAAAAAAAGAAGGACACAAATGTTTACAAACTCATATGAAGCAAAATCAGCAGCAGGAAGCAAAGGCCATTCCCCAACCATAAATGGCTTGTTTTACATGATTCCAAACTATATGAAACAAACAAACAAAAAAGAAATACAAGTACTAACTTGTATATACAAGTTGGACATCAAGTAAAGCAAAGAAGTGAAGCATTTGTTGATGCTTCTAGCAAATGATATTCACATGTTTAAATCCTGAAGTAAACTGCAAGTAAAGACACAAGACAGGATGAAAACTACATGGCTGAATTGAAAAAAAAAAATGGATTGATGTGCATTGCAATGAGATAGAAATTTCCCTTCATATGTGCAAAAATCCAGTTTCATTAATGTAGAGGTCATACTTCTAGGAACAGATTTTAGACCAAACCAGTCTCCCTACATCCTGCAATCTACTTGCTTACACCAGCCACTTTAAGCGCACAGTACCCTGTTCACATATATAGCATTCTGCAGTTTCTGGCATTCCTCAATTTAATGTTCTCCTGCCTTAAATCTTGAAAACAAAAGGGAAAGTTCATCCAGGGCATCATACCACTGCTTTTGATTTATATCAACAGTGAAATCAAACTTAAATTCTTTCTTCTTCCATGGTAGCAGGAGTCCTTGCAGGACTTGTAAACAGCAGTACACAATACTGTAAACAAATAATTTAAGTTCTGCTTTATGCAAGATGTTAAGTTAACGCAAGTCTACCAAACAGGTGAAAATGAAAAGGGTGGCTTCACACAAAATCCTTCCCTTTTCTCCCAGCAATTCCTTTCACTATGTAAATAATCCTGAGCTGAAACAGGGGTTGATGAGAGCTTTTTTTTTTTTTTTTTGCATATAAAAACAATGTTCTAGAGTTGGCTCTCATGTTCTGTCAGGAAGTCAATTGCTGAAGAGATCAAACTGAAGTATGTCAAACCATTTGCTACTTTGGAGGAGGACTTATAATTTGGTGTGGCGTCCAGTTCTAGACCCAGATGCCGAGCTTGCCAAGGAAGCTGATGCTGCTGCATCCTCAGCTTCCTCCAGCTCATCGTGTAGCTCCTGGCTAACACTAGATTGGAGGGCTGCAGGAGTTAGCCACTCCTTTGGCAGGCAGCTCTGGAGGAAGGGTATACAAGAGCTGAAGTAGGCAAGGCGATTCACCCATCGTGGAATCTCTTTTCCACAGAGAATCTATGGGGGAAGGAAAATGAAAGAGTTAATTTGTTTTCTGGATTCAGCAGTAACAAAACTGCAGTACTGCAAATAAAAAGCAAAGGCTACAGCAGCCTTACAGTTTACATATCACAAATGCCAGTCAAGAAACACCCAAGTCGGCTGCACTATGACAATTTTCCATCAGTAACAGCAGCATTCCAAGTCCCATAATGACACCTATGTTCCATTGTGAAAGTTGGACACATGGTTGGTTCTATGATTTTCTTAGAAGTCCTGAAAAGCCTAACCACCTCACTATTTTTTAATAACTTCCATACAAGACACAGAAGTTAGTTAAGCTATGGTTTCTATTCAGTGCTAATTCCTCTGAAAGAGATATTGCAGGAGAAATCCCACTATTACAAAAAAGCACCCTGAAATCAAGTGGCCAGAAAGTGTTAATACCACAGCTGTATGGAGTTACACACACAGTTTAGGCCCTTTACTGTGGTGGCCTCTGATGACTTCCACAGGACGTCAGTATCTTACAACACAGGCCAAGCACACACTTCACTTCACTGAACAAGAGAGCAAGAACAAGAGCTGTACAATGGACAGCTGGGTTCAACACCTCAAAAATTTGTAAAGTTGCATTAAGTACTTATTTTTGACTGCACATCAGTCATTAAATAATTTTGCTGTCACTATTTGAGGAGTGAGCTACTTCACTTAAATACCTCCACATTCACTTCTGGTATTACAGTGCAAATCTGGAGAGCATGAGCATTACTCTGCTGTAACTGAGTAGCATTTAACTTGCAATTATACCCAGTTTTATAGTCAGTTTGAACACTAAATAGGACAAGACTTAAAACAGAAACAAGATGACCATGCAGATGAAGAGTATGGCAAAACCCTGGCCATATAGGCCAGATTTCACACCAACTGCAGCTTTGTCAGTATCTTGCCCTATTTACTTGTACCAGCATTGCACATGAATCATCATTTCAATGAAATTTTCTGCTACCACTGGAAGATCAGTCTACATAAAATACAGGCTATACAGTAAGTATGCATTAACTATTTTGGAAAAAAAAACCCAATTAAAATCTATGGAAGTGCACATAGGAAAAATAGCCATCCTTGTTTTGGAATGTTTCAATGAAACATTAGAATAAATTCTGGCAAGCAGAGATTGACAACTATCAATGAAAATCAGAATTTCCATTCCCCTCTTTGTCCTGGGTTACTTGTTCCTGACCCTTTCCCTTGTGTGGATACACATGTGAATGATCAAGCATTCAATCATATTGGCAAACTGATCCTGTTACAACAAAGCCCATTTGACTCCTCGGTCAAATACTTTGCATGACCACTCAAGTATCTACATGACCAGGACACGGGTGCTGGCAGAGCAGTAATTTGACAAAAGCCTTTCAAGCAGAAGAGTAACATTTATCTGAGTAGCTTCAATGCCTTTGCTGTTCTTTAACACTAGATCATAACTTGAAAAATTATTTACAGAGTGATGGTTCTGTGGGGAAATACAAATAATCTGATAAAAATAACATGTAGTTCTACCTTCAGTAGCAATCCCTGAAAAAACTAAAATTATTTTGAAATCTTGTTAATACTTTATTTACTTGGTATGTCTTTAGGAGTGCACCTCTGCTCTAACACAAACTATGTATGACAACAACATTTAGCAGCAAAATCTGATGCTTCAGACATAAGAACAAATACAACCTGAAAAATTGCCCAAGACAACAGAGACAGGAAGTTGAAAATTAAACCAAACGTTACAAAGGACTAGAAAGAGATGATGCTCTGTAGCCACCTGTGAAGCACCTTTCTATAGACCTTCATGTTTGTTTACCTCAGATAAAGCTGAAGAAAAGTGATTGCAGTTTTTGTGCATTAGGTGATAAGCATTTCCTTTGAATTCCTTTCCAAGCTCTTCGACTATTTTTTCTATATCATCTTCCATAAAGTCAGTACTGCCTAGAACCACAGCCTCTCTAGAAGAGAAACAGAGAGTAGAAGGTGATCAGTCTCCCATGATATAGGTGGACTACTGTTCAAACACCGCTCAGAAGCCATTCCACTGTGGGTAGCAAGAGCTTTCTGTTCTCCAAGAATAACAAAGGCTCTTTCTATTCCATTTTATGGCATCACTTCCATCTTTATAATGAGAGATTATGTTTCCTTGCTGATTACCCACCTTGAAAAAGTTACTGCATTGCTTATGCTGCAAGAGTAATAAAAGTTAGCCACAAGTCCACAAAATTTGTATACATTTCAGGAATTTAATGGTATGCTAAAAAAGTTTTTTGCTGCAGACACTTCATTGTCTCATAACCTCTGTCCATTCCATTTTTCATTTCTTTGCAAACACATGCATATCTTAAAAAGTCAGAAATCCTGAACAATTCGATACACCTCTGCTCAAAAATAAATGCAATAAATTGTCTTTTTCAGATGCTTTCTCAAAGAGCAAGAAAATAGGTAAGTTTTCTTACTTAAATTTAAATGTTTCTCCTAGCTCAGAAGCATTTCCTGGTGAAATCTCAAATATTCCAGAAAAAGGGTATGGATGACCACCATAGGCAAATTCTGAAAGAGAAAGCTTAGATTTAACAAAACCAGCATCTGATGACAGTAGAAGACAGCAGAGCTCACTGACTGGAAGGTGGCTTCACAAGGATCTAAAGCTAGCAAGCAGACATGTTATTTACATGGGGAGCAAATGAAATGAGCTGGAAATTATAATAGTTTTGTCAGTTACTACTCAGCCTAAGTAAAAACCAACAGGAAACTTCCTACATCAGTATACAGGTTTAACTTGAATAACTTTGCAGGAAGTAAGTACATATTGTTTTCACTGTGTGAGCATTTATAAGTTAAATTGGACATCTTTATACATACTTGTCTTTAGAATTCCACTTACATCTAAACTGGGGATTCAGAGGTCTGCTGGCACTTCTATTCAGTATACACTACAGTTCTCAATGTGGCAGTGCATAGTGGCCTAATAGGTTCTTTAAATTTCTTGATTTGCAAGAGTTCAATTGTCACAAGTTCTTTATTATAACAAGTAAGTAAATCAGTGCATGCATCTCAAGTCTGCACATAGCATCTGCTGGCTTAAGCACTCACACTACATGAAAGTACCATGGTGTGCTGTAGCTTCCGTCTGCGTCTGTAAGATAACAGAGCCCACCGCACCCAGAGTGTAATAAAAAGCTTTTAGCATGGCTTCACACTTCCTTTCCTCAAAACTCCTAACACATCACCCAAGTCTAGCACTCAGTTTTGTGGATAATCTTTTTAACAACAGGTTAATAAATAAAAGGTTTGATGTGCCTTGAAAAATGCAAGTCATTGTTCTAGCAGGGGCATGACCTGCTATATGAGAAAGCTGCTATAATCCCAACAGGAAGGGAGGCACATGTATTTGGCACAGCTCAAAAATTGGGTTTCAGGCACAGCACTATTAAGAGTCAGGTCTTTCTGGGGCAGATTAAAACGAATTAGAAAATAAAGTTTTAACAATAAAAATAAAAAGGTTTTAAACAGTAAGTTAATAATAAAATATTTTGTCAGTTTATTGCTCTGGTAACACTTGCAAAACCAGATAGAATGTGACCATTACAGTAGCTGAAACATAGTTTAAGATAACTTTGGGCAGTGTGGTCTTTGGAGTGCATGCCTCTCCTTTTGCTCCTTCCCCTCACCTCCCGACACATTCCAAAAAAACCCACTGCAGTAGATCTTCCTTCTTCAACTGGACTTCTTTCAGCAACACCATCACCTGAGAGTGTCATTATACTTAGGGCAGAAACAGCTCAGACCTGACCCTGTGCTATGGCGTGCACAGAAACACCTTCTGGCTGCAATGCAGGTTCAAAGTGACCTGAACAGAACAGGAGGCTGTAGCACCCAAGCACAACCTATTTAGCAAAACTGGAAAGCATTGCTGCTATTTATCACAAGGGCATCTTTTATGAACAGCATGCATGGGATGCCTTTGAAAGAAACTGTCTCTAAAACAAACAAACCTACCAAAATGGAATAGACTTCTTCCTGAGTATCAGTGTTAGGTGTCTCTCTGCAACAGATTACTGTTGCTGTAGTTAAAAATTAACTCCTTGCGCTAAGTGCTGACAGAAAACTGAGGAAAGGATTCAACCATGCTTACATGAAGCACACATTTTTTTATGTAGGTTTTTAAAAGTATTTCCAAACCTGGCTGAATAAGTTGCACACTTTTTCACAGTTGCATAGCTTTATACAAAAGAATGCACAAGCTACCAGATTATTCACATTCAAGGTTTTTTCCAGAGGCAGAATAGATGAGAAGAGAGATGAACAGGTTTCAGGAGCGAGGCTCCCCTCATTACCTGAAAAAATGCTTTTTAAATAACAGTATTACTGAAACAAAAAGTTATGATTTTCTTGTACATACCTCGGCCATACACCTCTATACCTGAATGAAACACTCCAATTCCAAGGGAAGAAGTATATTCATTCATCCAATACTAAAAGAAAGGAAAGAAAAAAAAATCCCCAAAACTCTAGTTAGTTTGCAGTACAGATTTATCTTCTCAGAGCAGACTGTTCCCCACATCAAAAGCATTAAACCCTATCACAAAGTATTAAACCCTATCACAAAGTGGAAACTGCACAACCCATTTTACAGGAACAGAATGCCACTAAAATTCCCCAACTGTAAGCAGTGAATTAATTCCATTAGGTTATATTCCAGTGTTTTAGTGCTGTCAAAGTTTGTCAGCCAAGGAGTCTGTACCTGGGAGAAATCCAGATCAACCTTCTATTTGTCAACAAGCTGTAAGTTGCAAACTTTGCCATTAGGTGGAATACATTCTAGAATCAATTGCTGCAGTTTTAAGGAGCACATTTTTCTTCAGAGTACATTGGAATGTCGGACTGTGAGATAAACACACTGACTGTCATTAACAGTAATCACCACGCCTGCTTAAGAACAGATGAGCACAAGACATACTCAGGGATGGACTGAAATTACCTTATTATATTTTGTCCTTCAATACTCAATCAGAGGTCACCATATAAGAGACAAAGCTCTCTCCAGGCTGCTGATGCATGGAGCTCCAAACATCAGGTTTAAGTCCTCTGCATAGGTTTGACACTTATTTCCAATATATTACTTGTATTGTAGCCAACAGAAAACAGATGCATTTTAAAAGAAACCAGAAGTGAAATTTTTTTAGAAAAGGGAAAAAATAGTGAAGACAGAAAACTTCCCTCAGTGCTTTCTCTTTTATGAAAGTGCACCAGCAGCAAATGTCTATCAGAAGATAACTATTACCCTCAACACCTGAAAGATGCAGAACTCTGGAAAAGGAAAACCTCAAGGTACTCTTTCCCTATCTACATCACCACCTTCAAGGTATCAATCTCCAAGATTAAAAGATTTCAAGTGACACAAAATTTGAGAAGGAACCTGAAACAAAGTCTAAAAAATAAAAAAGCCTCAGTTGTGTCCTTAAAAACTGAAACTGGCGACCAAGAAAAAACATCTATCTTCTTCACACAACCTGTTGACATAATCAGTGTTTTCTGATGCAAAGCCACTATGCATGGTAAAAGCGTAAAAAGTTGCAGGTGTCACACTTGAAGATGTGCTGGCTGAAGTCAGTGTGTAATTTACAGTGCCACTGAAAACATTACAGTGTGTAAGCTTTTTGTCTCCCAATAAAAATGATACACTACACCTCAGGTTGACAAACTATTAATAAAAATGAAAACAAATGGCAAAAAGAGCACGTCATGCCAATAGTTACAAACAGACAAGCCAGCTGTGGGAAATTTTGTCAATATGAATTAAGAGAAGGCATGTTTTGTGCCTTATATTTATTTAAAGATCAATTGTGATCCATGGATAAATTCTGTTTAAGACTAAACTTTACCATTTGCTTTAATTTCTGGCTTTGTCAGTGTAGTGCTATGCTTAGCTAGTGGGGTATGGATGACTACACTAAATCATCACCTTAGTCTATTTAAATGGCTTAGCAGTTCTTTCCTTCTACCCCCAGAAAAGAGCAGAGAGCAAGTCTGTATGAACAAATTACATACAGAAATATACTGTGCTAATTTACTCTGTATAGGAAGACATAGAACAGGGGGAATACAAAGAGAGCAAGGAAGGAGAAGGATGCGAAGACTACTCATCTTAGTGGGTTTGTGAGCATAAATATAAAGGATTCTAATCATGAGGAGAAATCAAAATCCCCAGGAAAACAGAAGAGCTACTGCAACATCAATGTGTTCTAGTTCTAAAGCCCTTCCTACCCCACAGTTTACCAGCTCACCATTTCAAAACAGTTTCAGGTTTATATTTATAGTCAAAACCGTAGGCACAGTCAAAGTACAGATTGTCATCACTGGAATAAAGTACGTTTGCTTAATGGGAAGGTGTAACCAAGTGAACCTAATCTAGAACTGAGCTAGACAGGGTCTCTGGTGCTCTAGTCTGTTACTTTCCTGGGCGCTTGTGGCCAGGAAACTCCGAACCTGGCTGCTGAATTCCAAACAACCTACTCATCACATACCCATTGGATCTGTTAGCAAGGTTAAGGCTGCTCTCTGAAAACAGAGCAAAACTTACACAAGATACCACACACAGTGGGGCAGAATAAAGCCTAGTTGGTTATTAGACAGAAAAAAATGAGGGTAAAAAGTATTTACGGTACTCCCTAGCCATAGCCCCACAAAACCAAACGAAGAATTGGAAGGAGAGAGGAAATGTGAGTCACCAAGCCTTCTCACTGATATGGACAGAAGCGGATGAACAGGATGGAAAGCTGATCCAACAAGGTGTTCAGCACAGCCTGCTCCTATCCAAGCACGTGCTCCTCCTTACTGGTGCCACCTAAACACTCGGAGCTGGCTACACTGCACAAAGTGAGCACTGGTGGCAAATAGAACCAAAGTTAGCAGCTTTGGAAGAAGCGCCTGAAGCAAGCTGGCACTTTGCTTCATATTTCCAGTAAGAACTGAATAGGTTAATTGAAGATAAAAGAATTTCAATGAGGCAGAATTACTTTCCCCCTAGGAACAGTAATTATATATAATTATTACTTAATCTGGATGAGGTATTGGAAGGTTGGTCCCACTTACTCATTGAACAAAATGCCTTATCTCACTGAAGGATGAAATGCAGGACAAATGCAAGAGTGCTGAATTTGGCTGCAGCTGAAAAGATTATATGCAACTTGCAAAATAAAGATTGTAAATTAAATTAATCTGTGTAGCTCATTGGTTCAGTAACATGCCCAAACTGATCCCAAATCCTACATCCTTGGTTACATTACACAAACTGGATTCCCTTTAGTCTTGATATGGATTTTGCCATAGTAGTATGGTGCAATCCCATATTCTCAATATTTTGCAATATGTCAGTCTTGTAAAACAGGATTTCAGGTTTAATCTATCATAAGGAAAATTTTAAAGAAGTATTTTTCTATTGGCACAATAAAGTCATGCCACTACAATGAAAGAAAAACACTAATCCCAGTGCTTCAAAAATATCTTCAGAGCTTTCATTTACATTAATACTTTAGCTTGTTATCGCCTTATTTGACAAGGGAAAAAATAGGATACTATTTGGGCACAAAAAAACTAGACTCCTAAAAACAGCAGTTAGTTAAAACGAAGCTATAAAGTACTCCAGTTCTCAAAACACAATATATCAAAGCCTTCACCTTACCCTTTTAATGATCATAAAAGATGTTCAAAGGCATGAACTGTACCACGTAAATATGCCCTTAAGCTTCTCTCTCTCCATAATGTTACCACTACTTGAAAGTCGACTTCTACAACACATGCATCCCCCTCCCACTCTGGTTGTATCAAAGATTTTTGCTTTTTCAAGCAGTAAGGACATTGGAAGGGTATATCCTCCAAAAGCAACCAGCTCAGTCCTGTAAAGACTTCCAACAGTAGAAAGGTCACTTAGTATTCCCCTGCATACCTAACCAGCTGCCTGGGAAATGCAGCCACAGTTTGCATTCAGGTTAAAATAAAGCTGTTCGTTTTTACAGCTATGTTGGTTCTGTCAACCAGGTGAATAGTAGTGGTCTCTTGTTCCAAAGGAGACACCAAAAACCCCAATTCCAAACCCATTTTCAAGTGACATGGAATGTCAGAAGCAAACAGCAAACCTGCTAATGTGTCAAATATGCAGTTGGCATGGTTTGGTGAATAAACAGAACTTCAAAACTGCTATTATAGAAGACTCCTCCCTTCTTCCACCCACTCCTAGTGCCCCCAAATAAAGCAGTACCATTGATTTCAGCTGTTGTACAAGCAGTAAAGACTGCTATACAACGTGAAAGTGAGGCTTTGGTTTCAAACAAACTTCAGATGGACTGAGATGTGGTTTAGCAGGAGTTTGATGAAAGATGTACACTGGTGGTATCTTTCAGACATCACACAAACCTGTGTTTTTCTCACCAGTTTGAAGGCAAACAGTTTCTCTAATGGTCAAGTAAAGTAGATATCATTACAAAACAACAAACAGGACTGAAGCATGAAAGGTAAGTATTTTCCTTAGTGGTTTCATCTTATACTATGTATAATCTGTGGTGATGTGCAGCTTCAACCATTAAAGTCACCCCTACAGGTAATCAAACATCTGCAAAATGTGCTTGACTGCTTCTTTTGGAGAGCAAGTTCCTTCCACAGATGGTGGCATCAGAGATTGTGTGAATTCCCAACAGAGGCAGAGCCTCAGTAATAACAACAGGATAACCAACAGTCCCTAATGTGTCCTTAGGAAAAACATGATACTAGCTTTCAGGAGCACACCCTTCCTGTTGCTTTTTTCCCCTGACTTCCCTCATGTCAACCACCAGCCTTCCTAGAATGGATGGAGTAAAACTGATCACAGCAATTCAGCTCTGGAGGAAAAAGAAAGGATGTTGTGAATGAAAGAGACTATGACAAGAGAAAAAGAAACAGTATGCTGAAGTCACACCCCACCAGTGAGAATGGACACCCATCCTAGTGAGAATGGAGTTTCTCAGAGGCCATGGCACTACTTTCCAGGCAGGCATTTACCGAGGAGTCAGTCCACGCTGTTAAGGTTTCACAGCCTGCCTGTGAACTGGGCCCACTTTGTACAATTAAGCAAGTTTTTGTGAGAACAGTGGGTCTTCCATTTTGGTGAGTCAGAAGTGCGTCAAGCCTTGACTTCAAAGATATTCTCATGTAAGACTCATGAAACCAAAGTCCTACTTCTTCCTCTGTACAAATATTTATAGTTAATAAATGTAAAAACATCTTTTTTTTAACGCTAAAAGAGATTCCCCAATAGATGTATTTGCACTGTAGTACAGAGAAGTAATATATATGCATGTGACAGGGCATCCTTCCCTCCTCAAGTCTGGTATAAATAAGGCACACTGTGACTTTTTCTCATATTAGCATCACATATGAGCTCAACCAGGTGAGCAAAGACCCCTTCTTTTGTCCTCCCATCTATCAGAAAGTCACCGTGAACAGACTGTTCCTGTCTCCAGTCTCCCCTCACTGTCTATAATGAAGGAAACCAAAATCAAGGTAACAGGCTATACTCACTGGAGAGAGAGCGTGGGCAAAAAAAATCCTCCAAAAAAGGGACACTGATTTCTAAGGTAAGTATTAGAGTGAAAGAAAGTAATGACAAAAATCAGGCAAGTTGTTATGATATTGTAAATATATTTGATTTCAAGACAGATAGCTCCCTACTGATTGCTACTAAGCATTTTAGCATTTGAATGTGACTGCTCCCAAGCAAAATAAGCTGTATTTTCTCACTTCCAGCAGTCACTGACACTACACTATATACCTACACCCCTTGAAAACAGCGCAGGTTTACTTTAAAATGGTGGTGGTAGAGAAGCCTATCCAAAATAAGCTAATTAACACAATCACTGTCACCTGAAGCTAGTTCTCCATCTTACTGTCCTTCCATCAGGAGACTCACAACTTGGTCAGAGAAGTTACTGCCACTCATTCTAATTTCCAGCGACTGAAACGCATTAACGGATAATATTTTCTTATTGCTTATCCAAACCTCCTGTTCCATGCAGGTACTTACACCTCATTTGTTACCATGGCATTTGAGCAGCTTCCAGCTGAACACAAGACAATACCACAGCTGCTGTAGGTGCCACCTAAAGATTATCCAGAAGGAAGGTGAGCTCATACGACTGCAAATCTTGCTGAAGCAATCTTTTTATTTCTACCCAGTCGCAGCCATAACAAAGCTATAAAAAAAATTGTGGTCTAGAAAGAAATCACTTTACTGACACTTTGCTAAAAAGATCTTATCCTTGCAGAGACAGAGGTTTACAGCCCTCCTCGGAAACTGGACCCTTTTCTGGTTTTCATGGGCAGAAAGGCAGGGCCTCCCCGCTGCTGAGCTTTGGGGCAGCGGCAGAGGGAACAGCGCAGCCCAGGGACGCTCAGGGCAGCGAAAGTTTCCCCCGCGACAGGGAACAAATCCACCTGTCACTGGAACACCCGGCCCGGCAAACTTTTGTCACAGGTCACAGAGGGGCTGTAGAAACCACCAGACCTCCCAAAACACCGCCCTCGCCCTCCCTCCCCTCCCACGGTTCATTATGTCTCCCGCTCCACCAGCTCCCTCGGGGACAGCCATGGGAAGGGCAAGCAAAGTTTCCCAGCCGCCCTGGCCCCCGCAGGGCAGGGCAGGGCAGGGCAGGGCACTCCCCGCCACCGCCCCGCTGGG